AGAGAAAATGGAAAACAGAAAAGGAGTTAGGTGTCAAAAGGACTTTAAAAATAAGGATTATTTTTGTTATGTTTATTTTTTCATTTGGGGGTTTGGGAGGGAGGGGATAGGAGAGGGTAGATGAAATTTAGGACATAGGAGGAATGGAAGAAAATGTGAGAGGGGGTGAGAGGAGAGGGGATAGGTAGAACGTTTTGCATCATTTTGTAAAAAATATTTCTGATCGGGTTGATTTTTTTTCTTTTTTTTTTCTTTCTTTCTTTTGTTTTTTTTGGGGGTTTTTTTTGTTTTTGTTTCTGCAACTGGGACTTATTTAACATTGTAAAGGATGTATCAGTTGGTTTTCCTGTCACTATTTGACATCTTTAATTTATACACCGACTTTTTTACGATTTGCATCTTTATTAGTTTGTTTTATGTGTAATTATTTGTTAGCTTATCATTCTTGATCCCCCCCCCCACCCCCTTCATCTTTCACTCTATAAGTATGAGTGTGGGTTTGTTTGTTTTGAATATTTCGTATTAATTTTAATTTAAAAAGAACAAACTTTTCGTTCCCACGTATTAATGCTTAACACAAATTGTTCTAAATCTCATGACATTCATACGCCATTTAGCCCCCCCCCCCCTCCTTTTTTTTCGCCATCCCTTTTCCCCACCCCTATTCCTCTTGATAAATTGTGTTTATAACTTTTGATTTTTTTTTACCTTTTCCCATAAAGGTTTTTGGTGTACTTAGTTGTTGGTATTTATGTCAAAGCTACACAAAAAAACAACAAAACAACAAATTTTGTATAAAAAGCCTCAGCCGAAGAAATAGCTTATATCAAGGTTTTTACTCCAACCTTTCTCTGACTGTCTGCTTCTTACAGCTCCCATAGCTTTTATCAAAACACGACCCTCACACACTTGGTGAGAACAAAATTGTGACAAAGTGCGTAATTTCATCATACGATATTTCGTTTCGTTTCTGCAGATCATCGCAGTGATTTCCGTGTTTTTCATCGTCATCTCCATCCTCTCGTTCTGCCTGAAGACTCACCCAGAGATGCGAGTGCCTGTGTTGAAGAACGCCACCTCGCGGACTGTCAACGGAACCTACACATGGCGCTTGGAGAAGAAAGAGACCGAGCCTCACGAGGCGTTTTTCTACATCGAGTGCGCTTCGAACGCCTGGTTCACTTTCGAGATCATTATACGCTTTGTGGTGGCGCCCAACAAACTCGACTTCCTGAAAGCGCCCGTGAACATCATAGACATCGTGGCCACTCTGAGCTTCTACCTTGACTTCATGCTCACTGAGCTAAAGCAGGAGAGCGATATGCTCGAATTCTTTTCCATCATCCGAATCATGAGGCTGTGCAAGCTCACCCGCCACTCGGCTGGCCTCAAGATTCTCATCCACACCTTCAAAGCCAGTGCGAAGGAGCTCATCCTCCTGATTTTCTTCCTCGTTCTGGGTATTGTCATCTTCGCCGCTCTCATCTACTACGCGGAGAGGATACAGTACAACCCGGAGAACGACTTTGAGAGTATTCCCGTGGGTCTCTGGTGGGCCATCGTCACCATGACAACCGTGGGCTACGGCGACATGGCGCCAAAGACGTACGTGGGCATGTTTGTGGGCGCTCTGTGTGCTCTAGCGGGCGTGTTGTGCATCGCTCTGCCCGTGCCCGTCATCGTGTCCAACTTCGCGCTCTTTTACTCGCACACACAGGCCAGGTCCAAGCTGCCCAAGAAGCGGCGACGAGTGCTGCCTGTGGAGGCGCCCCGGCCTAAAGGTTCCAAAGCTCCGGGCATGCCGGGAGGGGGCGGTGGCGTGGGCGGACCCCAGAACCGGAGGATGAACGCCATCAAACACAACCACCCCGGGGCGCTGGACGTCAAGATGAACAGGATAGGTAACTACCGCTACTTCTCGCTTCTCCCCCTCCTTCCTTCCTTCCCTCCTTCCCTCTCTCCCTCCCTCGTGAATCTCTCACGGATGTCATGTTAACATTCTACGTGTCGTCATGTTATGAGATGCCACCTATTATCGTTAGTAGATATAATTATACTACGTTTGTGTACGGCATTTGATGATTATCATGTCAATATTTAACTGTTACAATTTATTACCTGTGACTCTATTCTTACATGATTGCTTTCTCGATTTTGTCTGACATTTTTAATCATTTTACTCGGTAGATGATTCCTCAATGTATGTGTTACCCTTTTTTAAGTTTTATTTTTTAATATTCTATATACTTTACCCCGTCAGCTGCCTTTTTTGCAGACAGTTAAATGTTTGGATTTTTTTTCCACCCACTACCTTGCATCGACTGTGTATGTGTGTATGTTTTCTCTGTGGTTTCCATGGACACGCGTGTAGACGTCATGAATGGCCATTGTCTCTGTGTTGTCTACCTGGCCTAGACACGTCAGCGTGACGTCAGTGTGTAGCGTTCAGATGCAACAATGTCATAGTTCTGGTCTTGTTAGATTTCCACATATTATTATCATCATTATTATTATTACGTCATTATTTTCTTCACTCTTATCTTGTTCGTTGGACGACCTAGATGTCACGTTGTGTGTCCATGTACGTGCGATTGTTTGTTTGTATGTGCCATGAGAAACAAGCCCGTGCTCCCCCTCACCAGCAGCTCCTGTAGATCTACTCGTCCTACCACTTGTTGCGTTCGACGTTGACCTTTGCTTGACCTCTAGACCTCTGACCCTGTCTGCAACTGCCCCCATTCCTCTGTTATTATGGATTGCTCTTTTTTCTTTTAATCTCTTCTTTATGTTTGTCATGATATTGTCCTTGTTTAATTATGTGTTTTAATTACATTTTGTAAATTTCCATTTCTTTTCTTGCGTTGCATTTTGAGAATAACTGTTTTAGATTGTTATTGAGATGTTGATTTCCTTCACTGAATTGGCTTTTTTGTCTAGCGATTCTGTTTTACAAAGCTTAGACTCAACGCTCAACTGGACTGGAGTCTAACCGTTCACTCACCCGCGCGCGCGCGCGCACAAACACACACACACACACACACACACACACACACACACACACACACACATACACACACACGCTCTCTCTCACACACACACAAACTTACATACACACAAACACTTACACACACATACACACGCACGCACTCTGTATGTTTGTCCATTGTCCACCACATGTTGTGATCTGCTTTATAATCACTCTACGTCCCGTCCACAGGCACAAAGCAAGCTCTTTGTATGGCGTACCGCAGCAGAGTTAATGTCGTTTTTCTGTACATTTTTCTTAGCAATGGCACAAACGCTGCACCATACTCAACAGAACTCCAGCTTTTGATGGAAACTGGAACGTTGAGAATGTTCCATGTCCTTTTCCACATTTTTTGGGTTAGATTTCTTGTCGTTGATGACACTCAAAATAGTATGTGTATTGCATTTGTTTCTGATGCATTGTGTGTTTCTCTGTCGTCATGGCAACAAGAAATGTTATTTATCGTTCACTGTTCACCCTCAGCATTTCATCTCGCTCTGTCTTCAAAACTAAACAAACAAAAACCATGTCCCTTCGCACCTCCTTGTCCTGCTCCTGACCTGTTCCTGACCTGATCCGAGGGTGGTTGGGGGTTGCTCTGGTGGTTTGCTCCTTGTTTCCTATCAAACATCTCTCGTATTTATCTCCCCTCCTTCTTTTTGTGTTTGTTACTCCCATTTAACACCTCTAATCTTCGGCACTTAAATGACCTTATTGTGTTGCAAGTGCCGTAAAACTCTTACTAAAACTGAACTGACCTGATCCTGTCTCTCCCAGTTGTTAAAGCTGTTGTTGGACATCTGTCATCCGACACACCCTCCTGTGTCTTGTTTTGTGAGTCGGCCTGACAACAGCAACACTAATATATTATTATTGTTATGTCTTTCGTCTCTGTGCTGTCGACACTGTCCAAGCCGCCGGCCAGTTCCTTGAGGGAAGCGGTCGTCTTAGACAGGTGGTCGTTTTGACAGCGTCATTATACCACATGCTCCATTATTTTTTTCTTGCTGTCTTTATCTTACTCTCTTTCTTTTGCTCTTCTCTTTCTCTCTTCCCCTCCTACTCTTTATCCCTCTTACTCTCTCTCTCTCTCTCTCTCTCTCTCTCTCTCTCTCTCTA